CCCACCAAAGTTTTACATAGAAATATATAGGAAAAATTCTTTAAAAACCTTCTTCTCAAGAAAAGCAAAGGCATAATTGATCATATTTTTTGGAAGCATCTTCAGGTAGTGTACCGTTCACGGTAGCTCATTCGGTAGAGCGCTCGCTTCGTGATTAAGAGGTCGTGAGTTCGTATCTCGGCCGCGACTGACCTAGTCGTTAAGAATGGGTAGCAACTGTTCCTTCGCCATGCGCTTGGCACTTTGAAGTGAAAGTTGCGGGTCCTTCGGATGAGACCTTAAAAACCCAGGCCCCGTGTCAGCGGCAGGCGTTGGCACGATAAAGATCCCTCACTGCTCAATGGCCCTGAGTGCCGAGTAAAGGTCAAAATTTGAAGCCCTTCACCGGCATACGGTGACGTCTCCATATGAGTGAAAAATTCTCGAGATGGACGTTAAACAATATACAATCAATAAATCTTCAGGTAGTGTAGATGCAAGTTTGTTCAAAGCATGACCCGCGGGGGTAGGGCGAGGCCACAATGGCTGACCAAAGTTTTACATAGATATACATAGGAAAGTTCTTTAAAAATCTTCCTCTCAAGAATAACAAAGCCATAATTGATCATATTTAAATAGAAACATCCTCAGGTAGTGTAGATTTAAGTTTATTCAAATCATGACCCCCAGGGGTAAGGGCGGGGCCACAATGGCCGACCGAAGTTTAATATAGAAATATATAGGAAAATTCTTTAAAAATCTTTTTCTCAAGAATAGCAAAGCCATAATTAATCATATTTATATGGAAGCATCATCAGGTAGTGTAGATTCAAGTTTGGTCAAATCATGACCCACGGGGGTAGGGCGGGGCCTCAATGGCCGACCAAAGTTTTTCATTGAAATATATAGAAAAAGTCTTTTAAAATCTTCTTCTCAAGAACAACAAAGCAATCATTGATCATGATTATTTAAAAGCATCCTCAGGTAGTGAAGATTCAAGTTTGTTTAAATTATGACCCCCGGTTATAGGACGGGGCCACAATTGCCAATCCAAATTTTACATGGACATATATAGGAAAATTCTTTAAAAATCATCTTATCAAGAATGGCAAAGCCATGATTGGTCATGGGACTACTTTTGGATTTAGATTATTCAATAACAAGCAAAACATTGATGTAGCCATCAATTGTCGCCCGGGAAAAATATAAAGTAAATCATGGAAACCGCTTCCATTTGTTGATAAAAACATGCGTCTGAATTATTGAGACTATGATGGAGAAAATTTACGGAAGGCTTCTAGTCGGATTAAAATCAAACAAAAACGATACACTTTTAAACTTCATTAATTCTTTATGCAACTGTTGGATGTATAAAATATAAATTAAAATCTGTCACATGGATCACCTATCACCAAAAATATATTTGACTGAATGAATATAAAACACAATCTGTGTAACGTACGTTTTTATGCGAAAAGTAAAATTTAATGTTCTAAAAAAAGGGACCTGTCGTTTTTTCGATAGTAAATGATAAGCAACATTATAAATTAAATATGAAAAACACATATATTTTTTAAGATGTACTTCATATGGAAGAACGTATATTTTGTATTTCGTAATTTATTACGGGAAAGAAAAGTCTGATATATATAATCTTTTAAATGTTTAGATAACTTTCAATTCTGAATAACTTCTCCCACCTCAATACCCATACATCAAAACTTAAACTTATATGTATAGAGCAGCCCGGTCCTCCGGTCTGCAATAAACCAATTTCTACTTTTTCCTAGCCACAGTGCTCAGGTAAGCGATGTGGCCCATGGGCCTCTTGTCGTGTCCGTCCGTCTGTATATCTATCCGTCTGTCTATCTGTCTGTCTTTCTAGTTGTCTGTTTGTCCGCAAAAATTTTAAACTTTCCCATAACTTTAAATCAACTGGAGCTATGACTTCACATGTGTATTCCTTGTGACAAGACCTTTCTATCGATACTACCAAATTTGACCTGTTGACTTTGACCTTGGAGTTTGACGCACTTTACACAAAAATTCCAAACTTTTACTTTGGCCATATCTTTTGAACAATAGATACCAGGACTTCTTATCTTCATATATGTATTTTTTGTGGAAAGACCTTTCATTGAACGCAAACAACTTTGACCTTGGAGATTTCCGTACAAACTTATGAAAACACTTTTACCTTGGTCATATGGGCTAGGGATTTCATATTTCACATATTTAATCTTTGTGAAAAGACCTTTCATTGAATACAAAGAACTTTGACCTGTATGACTTTTGATTTTGACCTACTTTTAAAATACAACATTGACCATAATTTTTTAAGGATTAGGACTACGGCTTTAATCCTTTAAATATTTAAGTCTTGTTACAAGACCTTTCATTTGATATCAAGAATCTTGACCCTTTAACCTTGACCTTGGAGTTTTACCCCATTTTTACAAAAAAAATCCAAACTAAACGGTATATACTAGGAATTTAGCATTCCAAATATCAATTCTTTGTGGCAAGAACTTTTAGTTCAAACCAATAATTTTGAACTCTTGACCTAGACCTTGGAGATTTCTGTACTTACAAAAAACCTTAACGTTGGACATAACTTTTGAACGGTAAGGGCTAGGGCTTTCATACTTCACATATGTAATCCTTGTGAAAAGACCTTTTATTGGATACCAAGAATTTTTACCCTTTGACTTTAACCTTTGAGTTTGACCTACTTTTTACAAACTTTAACTTTAGGCATAACTTTTGAACAGTAAGGGCTAGAGCTATCATATTTCACATATGTAATCCTTATGACAAGGCCATTCATTGGATTTCAACAACAATGACCCTTTCACCTTGGAGTTTGAACTACAACTTATAAACTTTAACGTTACCCATAACTTTTGAGCGGTAAGGGCCAACGCTTTCATACTTCCTATATGTACAGTGTAATCTTTAAAACAAGGCATTTCTAGAAAACAACAATCTTGACCCTTTGACCTTGACCCCGGAGTTTGTAACTTAAAAAACCTCAATCTTGGCCATAACCTTTGAACAGGTGGTGCTAGGGTTTTATATTTCATATTTGAATTTCTTGTGAAAAGGCCTTACTTAAGGTACCAACATATTTGATCTGCGTTTGAGAATTCTTAACTTTCGCTGTGTTGCTTGACGGGAGCATCAGTTTTTTTTCCTTTTTTTTCTTTACACATCTTTTCTTTATCAAACTTGCAAGATGCCATAATTGAAATAAAATTATATCAAAAAAGTGTGAATCAGAGTTTTCTTATAACCTCTCACAATTTCCATTTAACTACATAGATAAAAGCGCTAATAATCAAAATAATACGCCATATCTCTTACACATAGTGCCAAATATTGGCTTATTCAGTGTTTTGCAATGAAAATGTACATTTTATCCATTTTATACGTTTATATTTCTCAGTTGATTTGATACGAAAGAGCATGCTCTACGTATGAACAATTTCTAAAATGAGGTAAGTTTGCTCTGTTCGTATTATGTATTGCTTTATGGAATTATGACCTTGTATATTATTCGTTATCACCGCATATTTCATGCTAAATCTAGAATAATACTTATATTAAAAGAAAATTAATGTAGTTCAAGGTTTGAAATCAATGAACAGTATATTATGTACATGATTTTATTTTTGTGACATGGCAATAAAATGTTTAACGTATGAAAAGCTAACAAATTCTTTTTTATACATCAATCTAAGAAACATATCAATTTAAACGAATATTTTTATTATAGAAAAAATAATGGTTATGCATGTATTGTTATGATTTGTTTTTAACTCTATTAGAAATAAGAAAGAAATCAGTAAAATTCTTAATTACTTACATAACAAATAAACCCCATAGGAAACAAGATATATATATATATAAATAAAGATATATCAGTGTCCTACAATAAATAAAATGATGTGAAAACATTTTGTCAAAAATCACTTTCTCATTTTGTCAAAAACGTCAGATCGCATCAGATGGAAGACTGTATTCTTAACAATGTTGCTTTCTGGAGTTTATGGAATGGTACTTGTTGTAAGGAATATTGATAAGACTGGAGAGATCCCGAATAGTCTCCACAGATTTGTTGACAGATTCCCAGTATTTGCCACGAAATATCTCTCAAGAGAGGAAGTACGTGAGTTCCGTCATCATAGAGAAGCAAAGTTTGTAGATCATGTAGAGATTGTTGTGACGTCACTGTGTCATCAAGTCTGTGGTGATTCAGTGTAAATAACATGTGTAACATCACTAGAGGTGGGATTTGTAATAGAGCCATACCCTGTTTCTTACTGACCTCCTGATCTATAACAAGTTCATCAATGTAACTGTATAAGAAATCTAGCTTAATATTTCTAACTACAGCTCTCTTCATCTTAGTACCCAGAGTTTTCCTTTCCATGTGATGTCTGTACATATCCTCATTTACATGACCCCAATGCATAATATACGGCAATGACATTCTCTCCTGTGCTTTATGTAAACAATTGAGTGACTCTCCATATCTACGTGTTCTGTACAGGTACATAGCAAGATAAAGAATGTCGGATAAAAATCCAAACTTACACGACTGTTTTAGCAATGTATCTACTTTTGCTTTATAATAAACCTTATTGCGAGTTCCATTTTTATATATACAACTCTGTAAGTACATGGCAGTATTCCGTAGAACATTTGATGTGATATATTGTATAATGACAGGATGATGAAATATCAGCCTTCCCCTAATCATTCTCTCCATTTGTGTATTGCAAACTGCAAATTCATCAACACTCTGAATTGAATAATCAGATATTGATAATTCCAAAAATAAACACATATCTAACTTTGTCATAGTTATAATACTGCTCTCGTCTGTACAGATTCTAAATGTTCTGTTTAATATAGCAATACAGAGGTAAGATCTGATTGTTTCACTCATTAGAAGACAAGATATTCCTTCATTATACAAATCATACAACTGACTGAACAATGAAGTTTGTACAGATCCAGTGACTTTCACTCTAAACATGTTGTTTTGCGGAATTTGGACATTCCCCAGTATGTACCATGCATATCAATAATTTAAAGCTTTCCAAGAAACAAGACAATAAGTTATCAGGTGTCCAAGACAAGGACGTATTGGTCTGTATGACCCAAAATAAAATAGTTTTTATGAAATATGAGCAGAGAATAGGTGTATTTGTTTGATAATTAATTACCTCTTTCAAAAAAATTTTGAAGAGACCATAGCACAAAAACTGACAATGATTCATTGAGTAAACGAGGTTTTGTTCTGCTCGAGAGAATGAAATTATCCATTCTAGTTCATTTTCAGGTGTGCTTCCAATAGGAACAACATGAAATCCTCCTCTTAATATATCTGAAATAACATTCTGGTTTGGCCAGCCCTTTTTGAAACATCTCTGTATCCATGATAGTGCTGACGTAGGCCAGTGATTTGACTGGAAACAGAACGCATGGTCATTCTCTAAATCGTGCATTATGGAATGGGTAGAACAAGGCCCATGAGAGAAAACATTGGGCATAGGAACATTGCATGTCCTTTCGAAATCCAAATGATAATCTCTGAATAATGTACTTGAAATGAATACATTGTTATTCTTTATTACACAGGAGGAAATTACTTCTGCATTACATGATTGACTTAACAGATTAAGTTTTGTAAATCCTGGTGGTACATTATCACATTCCATCAGAATCAGAATCACAGTGTGTTGTGGAATACGGTAGAGACTGATCTGAGAGAGATCACATATCACTTTGTGGTCTGGAGGCCATAACATAAAATCAACATCAGAAGTCCTCAGTCTGAATCCCTCATGTATGCTTCCACTCCTCATTCTATCAAATCCTCTCATGATGTACAGAGGTTTACTAACCGCCTCCTCGGTGTCTTTTACTTCTCTCCTGATCCTCACTTCTGTAGGACTCCCTACTTCACGACACAGTCCTACATAGACAGTCTCTGATAGTCGAGGTAGGTGATCCATCACGATATATTATTATTAAAGAATCAGGCAGCAAGTACGTGTTTCTGAAATGCAAAGAAATTTATGTCATTTCTTTGTGAATTATAACAACATGTATTGAAAGTGCTTGCATTTATTGACTTAATTATTTGCATGATTCTTTTAGGCACTATCGATGAAGACCAACTTATCATGTTTGTCCAAATACCTTTAAAATTGAATAAAAATACATATACATGTACTAGTATTTTGCAACAGACATTAAACATTGTTTCAGAAATTGTTTACATACCAAAGCCTTTTTTTTAAATGGTATAATCACTTTCTATTGAAGAAGAAAAATTACAAGTACATTCGCATTTAATATTCTATAACATTCTATGACATAAATACAGTAGTAGTAGGCTAGCAGATCGAAATCTGTGTTTTGGATATAGTTTTTTTTAAAAATCAGTATGGAAGGAGTCAGTTTGATATAAACATCCTGCATAAAAGAAATGTTTATATCAGGCATAAGATTAATGTGTATCAATTTTTGAAACAACATTAACAAAATCATTGTTCAAACAAGAACATCTGCAGCCTTTTTTAAGTCAACATTTAAGTTCTGTGGTCGATAGAATAACTTTGTCATCGAATGCAAATTTTCGTTCAGTCTATTGCTGACTGACATTTTTTATACTAATTTTTAAACTATTATTTAAAATTGAATTGACGACGGATTTCTATTGAATCGTCGACGGATTTTGCATTATCTCCCAATCATGACAAGGAGGACACGGCGGGTGTGAGTGGTGGACAGGGGATGCTCACAGCTCTATGGCACCTGCTTGAATACAGTTTGGTATATTCATATCTATATTCCATATGTAAACAGAAGTATTCACTCAGTTTCTTTTCAATTCTGTATGATCCGTAGATAAACAGACCTATGTGCTTAATATTAAAAATTAATAATGTATGTACAAACGTATTAAATATTTTATAACACCATGTACATTGTTTTCTTGAAAATGACTATGCAAACTAAATATTCATTTAAAGAAATAAAAATTCCTTATCGTAATTTTACTTTCGGTTTATATTATGAATGTATTAACCTGTAGTCTATTTATGACAATCAATGACTTATCAATGTCCCCATTTTTATCAATGTCGACTTCTTAAACATTGATCGCATAACCTATTAATCGAGAAGAAGTGATCTAATTTTTGACCCAATATTAAAATGAACATATCGGACCAATGTACTTATTTATATATTTTTAATAGAAATATTTTAAATTGGAAAGCTAAGGTGTAAACTGTTTTAAGATTTAGAAGGAATAAACAGGTCTTGGTGTGCTTTGTCTATGGTCTGATAATAATAATTTAACAAAAACAATATTGCCATGTATGTCAGTACGGTACTCTAAATTAAGAGTGTAACATACCAGTATACATGTATGAACTTAATGATAACAATGCATTCCATCCATTAGGATGTAGAGTTATATACGATGACCATTATGGATTTATATATTCTAAAATCATCAGAATTCAAACCAAGATCCAAAGATCTACATGAATTATTTATAAACATGACTTGCTCTTACTTTACAATATGAATCTTAACTTAACAACTTAAGACCTTTCTTTTCAGTACATTAATTCTCATTTGACATGTTTAACTTTGAAAAACAAATTGATTTCTTCCATTATGTTTTGGTTTAATGATCATTAGATTTGATTTATAAAAGATTTACTTACATTGAATGGGTGATTGGGGACAAGATAGGCTCAAAGCCGAATCTGGCCTCTTATTTGATATAAAAATCAGAACAATGGTAAAATTGTGATAGTTTGTTGTTAAGAAGTTGAAATAATGCTTACTTTAAGACAAGCACTATTTTTGATTCAAAGCTTACACGGAAGCCACTAGAGGGTGCAAAAATAGGACATTTTCCCGAATTTCCTCAATTCTGGTGGAATTTCATCAAATTTGGGATACATTTCTCTTCGGAAAACATAGAGCACAAGCTTGCATATCTGAGATTTTTACACATCACATATACTGCATCTGATATCAGTGTATAGAATATATAAATTTGGTAGATAGGCAGAGTGTGCTCTTTGTTTTCCGAAAGAAAATGTGCTGTAAAATTAATGATTGATTGATTGTATATTGTTTAACGTCTCTCTCGAGAATTTCTCACTCATATGGAGACGTCACCGTATGCAGGTGAAGGGCTTCAAATTTTGACCTTTACTCGACACTCAGGGCCATTGAGGGATCTTTATCGCGCCAACGCCAGCTGCTAACACGGGCCTGGGTTTTTAAGGTCTCATCCGAAGGACCCGCAATTTTCACTTCAAAGGGCCGAGCGCATGGCGTAAGAACAGTTGCTACCCATTTAATCTTCTGTGTGAGTCGCGGCCCAGATACAAACTCTCGACTTCCCGATCACGGAGCGAGCGCTCTACCGACTGAGCTACCGTGAACGGTTTTTAAAATAAATGAAAATTTGCATTAAAATGGGAATTGCTCGAAATTAGGCTATTTCCTGACCTCACTGTGACCCCTTTATATTATAAATCTTAAAAGCAACACTAATTTTATGGCAGGGGTGAAAACAGGTTTTCATGGATAAACTGTTCGATCATTCTGATTGATTGATTGATTGCATACTGTTTAACGTCCCTCTCCAGAATATTTCACTGATATGGAGACGTCACCATTGCCGGTGAAGGGCTGCAAATTTGGGCCTATGCTCGGCACTCAGGGCCATTGAACAGAAAGGGATCTTTATTATGCCACACTTGCTGTGACACGGGGCCTCGGTTTATACGGTCTCATCGGAAGGACCGCCCCATTTAGTCGCCTTTTACGACAAGCAAGGGGTACTGAGAACCTATTCTAACCTGGATCCCCACGGGACTCGATTTTTCTGAAAGACACCAAAAATCGGGGGACAAATACTGATCTTACCCTATCTTGTCCTTTACTCAAAACTAAATGCCGGCATAAAGTTTCAAACAATCACAAACAGACATTACACCCTTCACACACATAGTGTCTCTGAATAGATAAGTTAAATAAATGTCGTCCGCCTAAAAGGACTAAACAATACAAACTAACGAATGGAAATTTTGAAAATAGGTAATAACCATATTTATACATAGACGGATTCTTTTATCTACCGAAGCCCATATTTTTTTGGTTTTGCAGTTACATGTATATAAAGTATGGAATGTTAGGATTAAAACATAAAAAAAGTAAATTACAAGAAAATGCATGCCCAGTCCTTGTGTAAATGTAAAATTGAATGAAATTCCTGAAAGAAAATTTATAGCGTTAATAAAAAGATAAAAAAAATCAATATATTTTATTTGTAATCAGTAGGGCCCCATCCGTATTGTTTTTAAACACTTTATGATCGTTGATAAACATATTACAATGTGCTTAATACAAACAGTTGACAATATGTGCACAGACTAGTAGAGTGTCAAGTGTTATTAGAAATGTAAAAAATAAAAAATCAATTAAAATTATCCCAAAAATATATTGCTTCTCTGTTTTTAGTTTCATAGCGTTACAAATACAAAGTTTTAAATATTAAAATATCACGTACCTGTTTCTTTTGAAAATGGCTAAACTTTACATTCATTCAGAAAATCCTCACTTGATAAAACTTTCGGCTTGTATTATGAACGTCTTTTCTGTTCTCTATTTCTAACAATCAATGACTCATCAATGTCGATATATTTTAGAAGTATCGACGTCTTCTAACATAGATCACATTACCTGTTATCTTGCCTCTGATAAAAATCGAGAAATTTGATTGGTCGAGAGCAATACTGCATGAAACGATGTTATGCTGTCTACCCACCTCACATTGCTAATGTGCCCCTTCCACGTGACCTACCCACCATATATTAAAAATTTACCAACACATCATCAATATACTGCTTTCACGTAACCCGCATGGAACTTCATAACTGACGTCACAATGCATGTGACAACAACAATGTATATAGAACGTCTTGCTCGGACGCTCAGTGAAAGTGGTTTATAGATACTTAGCATACTATAAATATTTAGTCTTTTAGAGAATCATTGGCATGATAAATTCGTGATATAGACACTTAGTGGGGTAATACGGAAATATGTGGGTACCTTGAAAAAATACGCCTCGCCCAATATGGATTTTTTCAAGGACCCCACATATTTCCGCATTACCATTTCAGTTAAGTTTTTAAGTTTAAAATAGAGATACATATAAAGATATATTTAAAATAAGGAAAACTGTAGTGTAAATTATTTTTAACATTAGGAAAGATCGTGTCTTGCAGTGCTTTATTTGTCCTTTGATAATAATTATGCTTTTTAAATGTCGCTTTTGTATGCCATTAAGAGGACAAGGTATGTTGTTTTTTTCATCAATATATTGACATGGGTTTAACAAAATGCGAGAAATAAAAGTATAGACCAGTCAAACAAAATAAATAAACAATGCATAATTTACATATTTTTTTAGTCACAGGCTCTTAAAAAAGTACGGCATATGGAAATGCATTTAAAAATATCTTAAATCTTAACTTGATACAATCATATTAAATATTTTCAACTGAAATTTTTTTCACCAATATTTTTACAATGCCTAACTAAGGCAATTCTAATGATCAGCAAAAATTTGAACATAATTTCCTGCTTTACAAAGGATATACAGAGTTTAACATTCTTCAAATTGTGAACAAGGCTCGTGCCTTGTTTTGTGTACATTTAGAGAGTATCATATTTATAACAAAACAAGATTCAGCAAATCATTAAAAAATGTCTAATTATATTAAGAATTAACTTCTTTATTGAAAAATTCCGCTTTTGCGAACACATATCAGCATGTTTCACCTATGTAAACAAAACATGGCTCGGGCCTAGTTTACACAACAGAGGTTTGTAGCTCTAAATTTGTCTTGTAACTTGACAACTGATCTATTTGTAAGCATAAAATATGGCTTCCGAAATTTTAGCTGAAACTGTTTCCTGGCTCCTTTAAGAGAATTCTTACTGACTTA